ACCGTCTCGATGCCAATATCTGGTAGTTGGCCATGAATCGCTGTTGAGTATCAGATGTCATACATACAGAGGAAGAGAAAACATTTACGGAAGGAGAAAAGGATCTGCCATGATCCATCCAGTATCCCTGGCCTATGACACAATAGGATGTTGACCACTGGGGGTTGGGGGCCGTACGCGACGCAATCGGTTTGCTACACTAGATTGTCTGGTTGCCAGCCGGGTGTTGTCGTCGTTACCGACGTACGGAAACACAGCACTTTGGAGTACGTACTACATGGCTCTGTCAACGACGGAGTTGATCTCCGTTTTGGCCCCTCCCATGCCCGTCCATCCGTCTGTACACTAGCAGGCTAGCCACAGGGGACCGACACAAGACCAGAACCAAAACTTCCAGCTCCCAGTCCACTGGATCTCTCGGACTAGGATACCCGTCCCCTCTTTTCCCTTGCGGCGATGGGTAGGTGCGTGTGGTCGTTTTGTGCGTCTTTGTGTGGTGACCTTCTCCTTCTCTCCATTGTATCGTATTTAATCAACCTAATGTGTCTTCTCCCCACGGTCAAGGTTGTCCAAGTCAGGTCAATCGCCCCCCTTTCCATGCCTCTCCCCTGCACTTTGCCAAGCCTCGCTGAGTCTGGGCATGCCCCGGCCACTTCAACACTATCTGATGCCCCTCTAGGGGGAGCCGTGGAGGGGCAACTGGCATCAATGTTGCTCGAGCTGAGTTGGTCAGGTACTCAGGGAGTGACGCCGCAGGGAATGTGGAAATTTGCTGCCTGCATGGACAGCGAGGTGCCTTGTTTTACTGTAAACTCTATCTCTCCGAGTTGCTGGGAGGGGGCGAGCCGACTTCCGACCCGGGATTGACGAGTCGCGGGACGGAGGAGGGACTCAATTCGGGGGTTCCTTGGGGGGAGTGGCCCTACCATCCAGCATACGACGGCTGAAGAACCAAGCGCCCATCCCTTCCCCCTCGCCCTTCCCGTCGTTGCCCACAGCGTCCTCCCTTCAGCTGTGTGTGGCTCGGGAGAAGGGCAACGTCGTCATTGCGCCTGATCGCGACAGACTTTTTTCTGTTCTTCTGTATGCCATGCGTAACAGCGCCTCCAGACGTCCACGGCGGCCTGACATGGCCGGTGTCAGTCGCGCTTCGCCTCCGGAGACGTTATGGCCACATCCCGAAATATAGCAGCCCAGCCCCAAGGACAGGCTCCCGAATAGGACAACGCTCCGTCGCTGGATGGATGGATATGGACGTTCTCTTGATCAAGAGTCATACGAGACCCTGCCATGATACAAACTCTCTTTTGATTGTGATTCTGTAAGCATCACCTGAGTCTCTCGTTGCCGCCGCGTTGTTACCCGGTTTTACACGTCGGCCCTTCCTCCGCCTGGATGTCAATATGCGCCCCAACTTGCCGGCCGGGCCCAGCAACTGCCACAACTTGCCTTCGGTCGTTGACCGAGCCCAGACCCATGAGTGCGATCATCCCGCGCCTCACGCCCCCCAACCGACGCTGACCCATTGTCCTCCATCTGTGGCGTTGCAGCGAAATACACCCAGAAGCAAGGAGCCCTGACATTGCGGGATTCCACCGTGAACTCTCAGAGAACTCCTCCAACTCTCTTTGTCCCGTGCCAACCTACTTTGCCGCCGCCGCCCATTGCATACCATACTTCGCACTTGCGCTGCTCCCCGCATGCCCGAAAGAGGGAGGGAAAGCTTCTCTTCCTGTGGTATCATTGTACCATCCGTCAATGGGATTTCTTGGATCAGCCGCCTCCTTGACCATTTGCCCATGTTCTAAATTTGCCTCTGCGCGGACCCTGATCATTCCCTGGGCCTACGCAATTCTCTGCCATTCACGCATCAAGCGCAAACGTGACGCTCGTCGTTAGGAAATTGGCCTCGACTTACGTAGTGACAGGCTCACTCGTAACCCGGAGTTGTAAGATCGACAAAGCAGTCCCTGTCTCCCCTTCCATTGACCGGTTTGGTCCCCGTCTTGGGTGTCTCTCAAAATCAAAGCGAACGCACAACCCGTCACACCCCACTGTGGAGTTCTCCCATCGTGTGCCTGGCTCTCGAACGGCTGAACGGATCCAGGGCATGAGTTCGACAGCGGAGAAGCAATCAGAGTGAAGCCTTGGCCTCCCTACGAAACCTCGAAACCATTACCACACTTGGTCGACATCTCCGTTCCTTAGCCTAGTACGGCGAGGGGGCCACTATACCTGGGCCGCGGTAACAAAACCAATACGGCTACGTACCTGCTCTAGTACGTAACGGCGTTAGCCTGCCTGAGTCCCTTCCCATCCCGGGCGGCTCTCGATCTCTGATCTAGCCGACGTCTCGGGCCCCGCAGAGTGCCACGGGGGGCTGTTCGTTTAGATGGCAAGAAAACGCCCTATGCGGCGCATAAGAGTTGGGAAATAAAAACCAATAAACGACAACTAGCAAGTTCACGATGATGCTGCTTAGTCCGTTGGATCCTGGATTGGTCTACAACCAAAGTAAACCGCCGAGGTTTGACTTGATCAGGACAATCTTGCGGAGTGGCTTGATGAAAGGGCTGAAGAACATTGAGTAGAACCTTCACATCATTGACAAAGCCGTCCGTACGTCCGTACGAGATGGCGTTTTCATTTCCCATGGCGCTATACTCTAATTTCTTCGACCAAGAGCGACGGAGTTAACCAAGACGCGAGCGCGGCGGGGCCTCAACGGCAGATGCAAATCTCGTTAGCCAACACCGGGAAAATAGCGGATTTACACTGACGACGACTCGGGGGAGGGGGCAGTCGAGGTTGTCGTGAAACAGAGTTGCCAGCTGAGCGGCGGTTGCTCACCACGGAGATGTGTCCCAGTTGGGAAAATACTAGTCGCTCCCCCGAAAGGCAAAACGGCATCACGGTTGTGACGAGGCAATGATGGGCTGGGCCGGGTCGGGTCCGGGGGCCAGCTGTGTCTGCCTATGTGTTGTGCGCCTCGCGTTCAGAGTTTGTTTCTGAACAACGGGTTTCCGGACCGGCTGTGGATCAATCATCGTCTTTCTTGGCCTGCCCGACCAAATTTGCTTCACCTTGCAACGTGCCATGGAGCTCCGGATTTACAGAGCACGGAACGGCACAGGCAGGTTTAGAAAGGATGGGGGTCAGGCGGAGCTGGGGGGGGGGGGGGGGTTCGGTTCGTTGGCCAACAGATACAGGCACACAAGACCCGGCCGATGGACCGGTGTCCTACCCGACCCGACCTTTGGTGGGGCACTTGATGATCTCAGAGGCCGAAGAGGAAGGGGTAGGGACCAAGTTCAGATCCCGAGGTCACTAGGGGCCCCGGGCCACGGGCCCCGCGAAGGAAACAGAGTTTTGGTCCAAAACTTAGACAGCTTATGTGGCTTCCACATGGCCGTCATTTTTGGAACCCCCATCTCACTCATCGCTGACAACGACAGACAAGAAAAGTCAGAAAGAAGGGTTCTGCTCCGTGGAAAACCGGGGCAAATCAGGATCCGATGGTCCACCAGTTCCCACCTGTTCCCACCAGTTGGACGTGCTGCCCTGGTTCTCATTCTAGAAGACCGAGAACTTTAAATACTGGGGAAATATGGGGCCAGACTGGGTGATCATGCAGATACCTGACAAGCAGGCACAGAGAGCCAACAGTGACACGGCAGATGTGAGGGCCTGTGGGTGTCTCCCGTTTGAGGTAAAAGGTCAGGTCCCGGTCAGGCTGGCGGTGAACCGAAAATCGTATTCCAGCAACCCACTGTTGATGAGACTGAAGTCAATTATCGTCAGTCACCGAGGTGGCCGGCAAACACTTTCTCTCCTCAGGCTTCAGCTCCTGATTGTGGAGCGTATTCGCACACACAACATTGTCATCGTCTGGACCCACGGGGTTTCCGGGGGGCGAAGCGAGTCGCGGAGCGTGGAAGCACACCATGGCATCATTCCGCACTTTAGGCCTCAAGGGCCTGGACGCTCCTAGAGACTTCGGGAGATTGTGAGCGGGTCAGCTTGTACGGGAAGCATATCGTGGCCACCTACCGATGCTTCATCATCGCGTGGCCAGGCCCGTTGACTATTGGATATTGAACCCCTAATCGGCCAAATTCCGTTGTCCACTCCAACCACTACCCTGCCGTGTCTGGTCTAGCCACGCCGCAACTATGATGTAGCATGCCAGATAGCGGCGTCACCAATATCGATATGGTACTCATGGCCGGCTGGGAATACCCTCGAGGAGACGGTCAAATTTGGCTGTATCTCGGGCATAGTTCAGACGTCTGATAGTCAACACAGACTTGTGTGCCAAAGCAGAAGAGTGGGACCCACCAGCCATCGTGATCTTGCAAACAACCCTGAATCGAGCACAATTCTCGAAGCCCGGAAGAACATTTTTTTAGCGCAACTTGCTACATGCGCTTGGACAATGCTCTACTCCTCGCGTGCCTTGCATCCGTACACCAGCACCCTTCATCCATACAAGTCTCACGCCCAAGGTCCCTCTCCTTTCGGGCATGACGTTTGACAATGTGCGACTGAGCAGAAGTTTGGACAATACCACACACTCGGGAATCACGGCCCCATGAAGGGCCTGGTCCAGTCTGCAATGCGAAAACACAAATCAGTCCGTCCGTTGGTCCTCTTGCCGCGCACTTCCGGTAACATTTGTACTGAAGCAAATTCTATCGGGCCAAGCCCAACTGTGTTGTTTACAATAATTCCACATAGAGTTTGGGTGTCTCATGTAGTGCTTACAGCTGTGCTGGTCTATGGGTGAGTGGATCTACAAGCGTCTATAAGCCGTTAATAAACACAAAAAATAAAAGACACAAGAAAAACCACAGGACCGAGGGACCCGCCAATCCGAGGGTAAGGCGAGTGCATCGTTCATTGATAATACATGATTAAGCAGGAGCCCGGCATGCTAGGAACTCCCGACCCCGTCAGGTAGGCGGAGGCTGGGCAGCACGGAAAGGGTCCCATTTTGCGGCTTATTTGCTCCGCCGTTTGCCGATCTGCCATCCCCATGATCTGAGCACCTTGACAACCTTTGGTGTTACCGCCGCGGTCAGAGGCACTCTGAGGAATATGAAACTTTTGTGGATTGCGTAGGCCAACGCCAGCTGAGTTCCCAAGCCTGCGACAAAGTCAGTTCGTGAACAGTGCCGGCCAGTGGATGTTAGGCGATCTGAAGTGGTGAGCTGCATAAACTTACTAGCTTCCGCCTTGTTGCGCCGTTCCGCCTCCTCTACTCCCCAACCTGCCATTTCGACGGCTTCACTGATATCATCGCTGCCCAGCTGTTCGGTTTCAGCCTTGCTAAGCGCGGCCCTGTATTCGGACCACCAGTTCTGGACCGAATCAGGGATCACTTTCTTGAGATTGGAGACGACCCAATGCTCAAGTTGCCCTGCAGCGTATTTGTCAGTGTCAACTCACCTTGATTAGATGCACGCGTCACTCACCGATCCTGTCTGTGCCAACTATTCTAACAAGCATGAAGCAAAAGGGAAAGTCGAGAACGCTCAAGGCCAGATACACACCCACGGCCGACCAGCCGTACTCCCTCGAGAGTTTCTTCAACCTTTGGCTCAGCGAAAGCGATTCCTCTGCTGTGCCATCTGCTGCCTTCCTCTGTCGGGCGGAAAACCGGAACGTCCGGCGCGACGACTGAAACATAGTTTCCAGGCGAGATGCAATCCAGCTTGAATTGTAAGTTTTGGACCATTGAGACGTTGACTGCGACGCGGAGGCTCGTTGACTCAGTGTTCGTTGGCTTGTTGTCATGAGGGTCCTCCTTGGCACAGTGAGCTGTTTCTTCCACACTGCTTCCCATGCACTCTGTCTCGTTGCCGGTACGGCTCGGCGCGGAATGGTCGCCATTTGGAAAACCGGTCGCATCATATCGATAGTTCGGAGTGTCACACTGCCCGATTCCAACGCGATGTGCTGCTTCCAAGTGTGTATGTGTATCGACTCGAGCTGATGATAAAACTGGTCGATCTTGCAATGGAAACGTGCCAAATTCGATAACCTTCGGTGGTGGTAAGGTCAGTGTCGAGAGCTTGTGACAGCTTGCTGAGAGCTTGGAGATCGAACCGCCGAGAACTCCGGGTGGATGACGACAAAAACGCGTGACACTCTCCGATGCGCCGCCGATGCCGAAGCTTCCTCGAGACACAGACACAACAAGCCCAAAGGCTCACAGAAAGACTCGGTCGTGCTAACCAGTGCGATTGATGCTTTGTGGCGCGCGCTGTGGCAGCCGAATTGCGCTCGCTTCTTTAATCCTGGGGTTTGGGGAAAAATCTGACGAGAATGGAGCTCTTCCGATGAACTGCCCAGCTGCAATGGCGTGGGTACCTAGCAGACATCGGAACGTTGGGCGGAACATGCCGCAATTGGCGGTGCGCCTAGTCACGTGCCTCTCATCGGAAGATGCTAGTACCGGCCTCCGACCCCATCTCTCGTCACCCGGAAGTCGGCCCGGTGCAGAGGCTCAGGACGTATCAGCAGCACGTCCCTCCAAGAAGCCAGAAACCTTACTCTCACCACAGTCCGCGCGCCAACTCACTACCACTACCGCGTGTCCCGTACGCAGTCAACTTTACCGCCGCCCATATTAGTTAGCCCTTTGCACAGATCAATCCGCCCTTTACACTCACTGCACGCTGAAAGTCAACAACGTGATGCAAAAACCATTAGTTAGAGTTGAGCATTTGCAAGCTAGAATGCAAATCTTGGCACGAGCGTTGCGCTCTGCTTTTTTCCCCCTTTCTTCCCATTTTCATACTTGGTTGTATCGAATTACGAGAGTCGTTTCAAGTCAGGATTTACCAGACTTGGCTGATTGATCCTCAAGTGTCTGAGGACCAACATGATCCGGAAAAAGGTTCTCGCTCACGTATTCGCCCTCAGGATCTCTCCGGCGCCCCATGATCTACTCCGGGTTGAGGGTTCTGTGAAAAGGCCCGGGTGTGTGGGCAGGGGCTCCCACAATGAACGCTCCCTGATGGCTCAAGCTCCGTAACATTTTAGAGTATCAACAAGTCGGCTGCACCACTCTCCGTCCGAAGCTTCTTGGAAATTCTCAACTCTTTTATTACATGGTAGCTACTGCAAGTAGACTATCTTACCTTGTCGGTAGTGGTGATGCGGTTTTCGATGATCTCATCCATAGTTGACGTAGACAATTACTTTAGAAGGCAAGCACGGGGCAGCCATACGCAAACTTAATCCAAATTCAATGATTAAGAGCTGTCAGCTTCCAGGTTTTGCGCCAAACTCTGGAGCGTTATCTGTAGGATTTTCTGACAAAGAGCAGGGCCGAAGGAAACACAAAGAGTTTTTATGCTATGGGACATTCGTGGGATAAATGGAACAAATCTGATCAGTATTGCCAAGCACGCCCTGGCATCTCTGTGGAGCTCAAACACAAACGGTAGGTTCGATCTTACTTTGCACCGAAGTCAGTTATGACCCAGCCGCCGCTGTTCTGCGATTCAACCCACCGACCGCGCTTCCGTCCCCGAGAGCCCGGAAGTCGGGGTTGAGAGACTCGGGGAGACCGAAGTGCCATGGCCGAGCATATTGGTCTTGGAGAGTCTCTTATATCACCACGGAAAACTTTGAACTGTATCCAAGCATCGAACGTTCATCATTGGCGTTTCAGTTCAGCCTTGTTGACCGCTACAAGTGAGGCCAAACTCTGCAGACAGCAGGTGATCACGGTGATCTCTCCGTCCAGGACCGCTTAATTGGAGGATAGCAATAGCGCAAACCTTCTCAGGGACCCTTCGTTCCCGATCAGGGCCTGGCAAAGCGCTGGCGACCGCCGTGCGGGGACCGGCAGGCAAAAAAGCGATTTACGAGGACAAGGTTTGTGATACATGTACGAGTGCTTACGATCAGGGATGCAAAAAGTCAAATCTCACCGGGCCCCGCCGGGCTGAAAGGCTAGGACGCTCTTGTGATTCCACATCACTCACAGCTTGCTTTTCAAGGCCTCCGCCACCAGGCGAACCTTTTTACCGTTGGTTGGAAGTCGATTAAGGCCACGCCGTGCACGAGTCTGGCCTTGGCGCACCCCGAGCACCTCCGAAGCGGTTGGTGCACTTCGGGTCCGGTTCGCGGTTTACGGCCCTCTGGACCTCTGGGTCCCTGATGCAATACTACCCCACCACGGATATTTTGCTTGGCGCCAACTTGGATCTGGTACAGGGATCCTTGCGATCACCCACTCTTATATGGGGAGGGGTGAACATAGAGCTAGCTGATCAGTGTTTGAGGGTGGGGAGGGAGTGTGTTTTGTCAGAGCATGTGTATTTGTGGGCGAGTGTGCAACTGTGCACCCTCTATGTGAGAGTGACTCGCAGGTTGCTCAATGTTGGCAGCCGGTGACACAGGCACATTTTTCCATAGTTCGGATGGTTTACATTCGTAAGGCTTTGTCACCACTTCTGCGATTTTTCCGCGTCCGTCGCGGCTATCGCGGGAATCAAATCCCTGATAGGCTTTTTCTCGAAGCTTTCAAACCTTCTTGGCGTCTATGTCAGAAGGCCCCGCAAAGAGCGCGTTGTCCGTCGCCTTCACTGTCAAGAAGTCCAAAGTTTACCTGCTGACGGCAATGCCGTGGCAGCAAGGCGTCATGAGCCCACATGCGCATGCCTTGCGACTCATTTTCCTAATCTGTGTGTTTTTTTGCGTTTCCTTTTATCCATTCATCATGTGCAACATTTGCTGGTCGGTCGGTCCACTTAGCGGCGGGTATCGTGCATCGTATTCGACACTTTGGGGGAAAGTACATAACTACCCACTACTTTCGATCATGATTCCACATGGCTGCAAAGTTGCCGGCCGGAGGGTGTCTCCAATACTGGACTGGAGGGGGCTGAGGTTATGATTGGAACCCCTGAGTAAGAGAGTGCCCCGCTAGATGATGGCAACACGGCAATTGTTGACGTGGATAACGGTGCACTGAGCCTCATTCTCGAGTCAAGCAAAGTCTCCTAATGGCGTTCATCTTCAAGCGCCCCGAGGTTGTATACATAGGCGTGGGCTGGGTAACTGCATACCTATAGTAATATATTACCAACCTGATAGACCCCGCCGTTTGTTACGCGTCGAGCGGTCCACTCCTGAGAACAAACGGCGAACTGGATTTCTACGACCTGTTGGTGGCTTATCATCTGAATCAGCAACCGGACTCTGGCCGACGCAGTCGGACAGGCCCCATCAGGTCATCGCCGAGGAAATTCCGAATGCGTGCTTTGCAAGGGGCGATTGGCTGTTTGCTGGCGGGTCGCACAGCAAAAGCAGCTGCATCTGACTCGTTTCGCAAGCCGTGGCCCAACTTGGAAAACTTCTAGAAGCGTGGCATGATGTTTCAGGTACGTACTGCTGACAACCGTAAAGAGAGTTTCGTTGGTTGTTGGAGCTGTTGGACCAGCTGAGCAACCAAACCCCCTATAGACGGGTGGACATGGACGGGTGGACGGGTGGACGGATTGTACGAGGTACTCTTCCTCTTTCGACCGCAAACTTTTGACAAAGCTCCCTGATAGTCATGTTCCCCGAAACGGACAAAGCATTTTATTTCTTTTTCGTGAAAGATTAGACGGGTTTGTTTCATCTCAACCGGACGTTCTGCCCAAAAAAGGTGTCCAGAAGACGTCGTGGGATGCTGGCAATTCTCATGATTCGCCAGTGGTTGCCTGCAGACCCGGCAATAAGATTCCCGGGATCGGCCCCCACAGGGTATCCGTTCTGTGGCATGGTGTGTGGACGTCCGAGTTTGTATGTCCGACCATTGCTCACCCGTGCTTCCACGTGTATCAACAGAAGTAGCCGTATCCTGATTGACGTATGCATGGCGGCAGGTAGGATTGGTAGGGTCATGGTAGGTAGGTAGGTTTGTATTTTACAAGGACCTCATGACACATCTCGAGAGTGACATGTCCGTACATGACACCCCTCTGCGAACTCAAAATTGCGGTTCAGGTATCGGGCGTTGACCGTGCCTTACACGTGTAGAGAGTCCCTTGATTCTCATGAGCCCTGCTCCTGGTCACTTCTTTAACAAGCTTTTGGTTTAATCAAATCAGTTGCCTGCCCGTGCAACACGTCTGCCCTCCACCCATGTACCAAGATTCAGTACACTATATCATTAACTGTTATCGATCTGAAAAGCCACGGTGACGCTTTATACCGCGTCTGGACTCACCGCGAATGTCGCATCTCTTCGGTAAAGAAGTCATACTCCTAAGCAGCCCAGAGTAGATAAAGGTATCCTGCGCGACAGGAACCCCAGCCAAACAGCTGCGATTAGAATGCCTCTTCCAGGCGCACGAGGCGGAGCTCACTCCAGGTCGTAAAGTGGAGATGGGCTTCTTAGTTCTCTTCCTTCAGCTGGTGTCACCTTTATCGGAGCATCAGCTACGAGAGACGAGATCGTCATGGAAGCTTCGAACTTCCGGATAGGATCCGTTGTCTAAGGGTTGCCGGCCGTGACAGACTTCGTGGAAACCGGAGCGGGATTTCGTGCAGCTGCCAAAAGGTTAATTCCAAGTTGTAGTGTGTAGTCACACGCATATTGTGGTGTGTAAGTGCGTGTCAAACATCATCATGTGTCACCCAGGATCAAAGCCCGTAAAGCGTCTTTTTTCAAAACCCGAAAAGTT